GATCTCCTTGGGGGCGTGGGGAGGCAGGTGGGCGGCAACATGCGAGGCGGCGGAGCCCGCGGGCGCGACGGTGCGGGGGGACGCATTGAGGTGCTGGCCCTCGTCGGCGTGGTGGTCGAGGATGGCGACCACATTATCCGGACGCGGGAAAGCGGGGCTGAGGGTGTTGTGGTTTACGAGGGCGATGGGGGTGGTGGGAGGAAGGGGAGGGAGAGCGGCGGGAGTGAGGAGCGTGGATAGGGGGTTGAGGACACCGGCTTTGGCGAGGGCGTGAGTGTTTTCTGGACGCAGGGCAAGGCCGGCGGGGGGTGTCTGGATGAGAGCGACGGCGGGGGTGGGCGTGGCAGTGTTGGAGAGGATCCACGCGTAGGCGATGGCGCTGGCCAAGGAGTCCAGGTCTATATTGCTTGTGTCAGTACTAGCATCTTGTATGCAAACAGGAGAGACAGACCGCCTGCCTCGTTACCCATCACGATGGTCGTCTTTCCATCGGCTGGATTGCGCAAAAAGGCCTCCTTTGAGCTGAGCAGAAAGTCGTTGACTACAGATGTGGACATGGTGGTAGATACCTGAGAGTCCAAGGACCCATCGATGGAGTTTTATCATGCTGCCATCTGGGACTTGGCTCAATAAAGAGAATCGATAATGCAAGTGACGAGTGTCTATTTGCGTCCTGAGCTTATTCCCCCCCCACGTGGACTAGGGCAGCCCCACGGAAATAAACACGATAATTAGCTCGAGTCCTGACCTCAGGGCTCCTATGTCTTGATCAGTCGTTTGGATCGTCGTGGATATCGCTCGCGTCCTAGCGTATAGGGTGGCACTTCACGCACAAGTGCTCGGTTCTGTAAAATCTGACCCGGAATCGCCGCGACTATGCGATATCTATACGCGCTAGTGGTATCGTTCAAAACAGCCGATTGGCAGGGCAAGGGCCCATGGTACCCGCCAGGTATTGCTGCAGGCGTGATTTATGTTTTACTCGGGTCGTACACACTATATCGAATTCTGAATTCAGGGTACAGGAGATGATGATGATGAATTACATGCCGCAGATGAAGATCAATCCAGACTCCAGACTCGGGACACAAGTACAAGTACACGCGGAGGTCTACACCGCGCCCAACCACATCGTCGTCTCAAATCACTCGGCCGCCGCGCCTCCATCCGCAGCAGCCGCAGCAGCGGCGGCACCCCCATCAGCAGCACCAGCGCCGGTAACGGCTCCAGTGGCGGCGGCGCCAACACCGCCCGCAGTAACGCTAGCGGCAGCACCAGCCTCGCCTACACCAGCACCCGCGCCCGTGCCCGCGCTCGGCCCTTCGTGGATGATAGCCCGCACGAGCGGCGCGACGACCTTCCTGTTCGCGCGCGCGTTGCCCTGTTCGTACACCCGCGTGTGCATCCCCGCCTCTCCCTCCTTCTTTTCCTCCGCTTTGGCGCCCTCGTCTGCGAACGTGAACTTGGCATGCGAGGCAACTTGCAGCTCGGTGCTCGCCTCGAGGCCGGCCCACAGCCGCTCTGCGAGCGCAGCAGAGGGAGGCGAAGAGGACGGGGCGACGAGCCAGGCCATCTCGCGGCGGTGTTTGGGCTTCTTGTCCTTGTCTTTTTTGTCCTTCTTGCCCGTGTCCTCCTCGCCCTTGTGCTCTTTATCCTTCTTGTGCGCCTTGTCCTTTTTGTCCTTCTTTTCCTTCTTCTCTCCCCCGGCGTCGGCGTCGTCCTCCTCGACGTCCTTGTCCTTCTTGTGCGCCTTGTCTTTCTTTTCCTTCTTTTCCTTCTTCCCCTCCTCGCCCTCCTCTCCGACGTCCTTGTGACCTTTGTCCTTCTTGTCCTTCTTTTCCTTCTTCCCTCCCTCGTGCTCCTCAGCACCCTCCTTGTGCGCCTTGTCCTTCTTCTCCTTCCCTTCGCCGTCCTCCGCGGTCTCCTTCTTGACCTCTTCGCCGCCCTCCTTGTGCACCTCATCCTTTTTCCCCTCTCCGTCCTCCTTATGTGCCTTCTCCTTCTTCTTCCCCTCGCCATCTTCCGCATGCTCCTTTTCGCCCTCTTCGCCGCCCTCCTTGTGTGCCTTGTCTTTTTTCTCCTTCTTGTCCTTCTTATCCTTCTTCTCCGGCTTTTCTCCGGTCTCCTCGTCATGCTCCTTATCCTTCTTGCCCTTGTCTTTCTTGTCCTTCTTATCCTTCTTCCCCTTATCCTTCTTCTCCTTCGAAAACGACGTCAGCACCCCAAGCACCCCTACACTCCTCGTCTGCATATGCGTCTCCGCCGCCGCCCGCAGCGCCCCCTCGCCGGCCCACTTGGACAGGCCCAGCGGGACACTCGCAAGCCCGACGCGTACAGTCGCGCCGCCGTGCACAAAGTCGTACTCCTTGTAGTCACGGCGCAGCAGCTGAGAGGGGGTCAGATGCGCAACGTTGGCCTTGTGCTGCTCAAGCGCGCCGGTGAGCTCGCGGAGGGCGGGAGTCTCGTGAATCTCTCCCGTGAGCGCGTCAGATAGCAGCCCCGCGTGTGCGGCAAGCGCAGAGGCGGCGGCGCGATCGACGTCGAGGGCGCGGCCGCCCGGCTTGAGCCCTCCTGTGTCGAGGAGGATCGCGGACAGGAGCAGAGCCGCGATCTCCTTGGGGCGTGGGGAGGCAGGTGGGCGGCGACATGCGAGGCGGCGGAGCCCGCGGGCATGACGATGCGGGGGGACGCGTTGGGGTGCTGACCCTCATCGGCGTGGTGGTCGAGGATGGCGATGACGTTGCCCGGGCGCGGGAAAGCAGGGCCAAGGGCGTTGTGGTCTACGAGCGCGATGGGGGTGGTGGGGTGCAACGCTGGGAGCGTGGAAGGGGTAAGGAGCGCGGATGGGGGGTCGGAGACGCCGGCGAGGGAGAGGGCGTGGGTGTTTTCTGGACGCAGGGCGAGGTCGGCGGGGGGTGTTTGGATGAGGGCAACGGCGGGGGTGGGCGTGGCAGCGTTGGAGAGGATCCAGGCGTAGGCGATAGCGCTGGCCAAAGAGTCCAGGTCTATATTGCTTGTGTCAGTACTAGCATCTTGTATGCAAACAGGAGAGACGGACCGCCAGCCTCGTTACCCATCACGATGGTTGTCTTTCCATCGGCTGGATTGCGCAAAAAGGCCTCCTTTGAGCTGAGTAGAAAGTCATTGACTGGAGATGTGGACATGGTGGTGAAGGCACGGTGGATACCTGAGAGTCTAAGGACCCATCGATGGAGTTTTATCATGCTGCCATCTGGGGCTTGGCTCGATGGAGAGAATCGATAACGCAACTGTCCGTTTGCATCTTGAGGTTGTCGTCCCACGTGGATCAGGGCAGCCCGACAATTAGCTCGAGCCTGGAGCCACCGCCGACCACGTGCAGCAAAACGTCATACATTGAATGGAATCACTTTCGGACGACTTCCATCGCGCCCACATGAACCGATGATTCACGCACTATGGGACTCTGGGCAACGTCGGCCTAGTAGCGTAGCGGTTATCGCTCGAGTTCAGAGGACCAAATGCCAGGCAGTCGTTCGCGGCTGTCTTCGGCAGTTCGGTTCCTATGGGCGCCGGGCAGGAACCCTTTACTCGAAGCCTCGTTCAAGTCGGGGACTAGGTGCAATCCACTGCTTTTTGGGAAGTCTGGTACTCAGATGTTTGTCCTAACGCAAACCTTATCCACCCCTTGGCTGCAACCAACTCGGAGCAGCTAGTCCGCAACAATACGACCCCTCGTATCACCACCTGCTCTGGCGCTAGAAATCACAGAGCTCTCTACGATCCACTGTTACCCAATCACACGATTGAAGCCTTTCTCCCGCCCAGATACGTCATAGGCATGTGTAGTGGCAGTAGCAGCCCGGTAGCGTAGTGGTTATCGCTTGCGTCTTCACCGCACGTTCAACGGCGACGCTTGACGTTCAAAGCCTCGTTCGATTCGGGGACCGGGTACTTTATTTTGGTGCACTTTCAAGTTGCGCTATTGGCTGTTTCAGGGCATATTGAAGACTGCTCGGAGAGATTTCTCGGTGGGGGCGTATGTAGCGATCTCTAATCCAGCACTAAGAATTTGAATTCCGGGTGCTAGGATCTAGTCGCATTCCGGCGCGAGAGCTATCATAGCCTTATGAGGTAGCGTAGAGGTTATCGCTTGGCCTTGACGAGTCTAACTTGCGAGGCGCAAAGCTCCGTTCGATTCGGGGACCGGGCACTTTATTTTGGTGCTTTCAAGTTGTGCTGCTGGTTTTAGGGGTATTGAAGACAATTTCTCGTCGGGAACACGACACCGGCACATGCTATCCGCGGCCCCGTAGTAGTACTTCAGTGACCGGCCGCTGCCAGTCAGTGTAGTGGTTATATCGCGTCGTGGGACTCGTGGCTGCATATGCTACAAGCGTTATTCGATTCGAGAGCTGGGCACTGCAGAATCTGGATGGAGGTCTTGTCTGCCCTTTTGTGTAACCGCTCGCGGGGCCGCTGGGACATGCGCGTGGTGGCCCACTGGTGGGTCAGGGTAGTCTGGTAGCACTGCCAGTGCCAGCTTGAGTGCACGGCATGCAATATTAAGTAAGTAATGGTAGCTGCGGGCTCGGGCGTCCCCGTCTACAGTCATGATGGAAACGGTACGTGGTTCTGTGGATCTTTGCAGCCTGGTAGCATAGTGGATATCACGCAATGTTATATTCAAGCTAAGATGCTTACGGCGTAGCTTCGGGGACGAGGCATCCCCCAGCCTGGCACCCTTTTTCCCACTGACTTGTTTTGAGGCGTGTTAACGTGCGGAGGTCTTCCGTCGGGGAAAGGCCCGCCATTGGTTTTGCGCCGGTCCACGCGATGCGCTCCGCGGGCCTTGAACCAATGCGTCGAGTTGAGTGTTCTCTTCTGGCTCCCGAGATTCTAATCTGGCGGGAGACCCAATCACATGCCCATCCCACTACCCGACGCCCGTGACCTTTTATTCCCCTCTCTGTCAGGAGTCAGAACCCCTAATAACGCACAATTGGAAAAAGGTAACCACAGCCTAGTAGCGTAGTGGTTATCGCTCCGCACGCACATACTGATGTGCCCATAGAGGTACTAGAAACAGCATAATTGTCCGGAAGCCCCGTTCGATTCGGGGACTAGGCATTACAGGCAGCATTCAGTGCTCTTCATTTGCATTTTATTCCCGAGCTGAGGCAGTTCAACGATGCAAGCTTAATCCATCGATTCCGCAGCCTGAGTTTGACGCACACACCACGCCCAGACAACACATCTGTCCAGCAAAGCGCGCCAGACTGCCACGATAGATGCACACACCACCGTACAGTACTCATGCTATCCGCAGTGCAGTACCAATGGTTGCGGCCGGGATGTACCGTATGTAATTGGCTCTCTCTCGATTGACGGTCGCAAGCCGGTTTCGTTGGCCCATGGTCTGTAGCCTGAGTCGTCGTGCCCAGCTTGGTTCGCGGGTTGCCGGTAGTAAAATCGTGTTATGAATATCACATAGCAAACGCGCTGGTTCTGCCTAGCTCATTGCATGTGTGAAAAATATCCTTCAAGTGGGACTAGTCTCCGTTCATCTAAATATCACGTGTCTTTTTTTGTTGATGAGGTCGACACTAATAGTATAAGGGGACTGCCTCAGTTGATGACAATCACAGGTGTCCTCGATCATGAAAGAAGCACGTCACGGAGCCGCCGGTTCGATCCCGGGTGCAAGCAATTCATCTCCGCAGCAAATATGACTTGGGAGCCTACGGCCGCTGGTGCTATTAAATCTCTCCAAGGCACGCCAACGTCCTGGACGTCCATTCCCAACAAGTGGATGACAGCCCAACCCGGGCTTCCCCGTTTGGTCGAGGGAGGGTAGGGATTTATTCAAGTGTAGACATCTCCGCCGCACGGATTCATTCCGAACCCGTCTCAACTCGCTGAGGGATAGATGATAACCTAGGGATCCCATTCCTCAATACCCTCGACCAATGCCATGACCACAAAGGCCCCGTCTGGGGTTCGCCTGAAGCGTGAGTTAAGTTCACGATAGGCATTACGACACGCTCTCTTGAGGTATTGTCGATCCTGTGAACACTAAGATCAGTGTGAAGAAAGTCATAGTCAAACGTGTACGATGTAATAGTACGAACAATAGTAGAGTCCCCACGCAGGCTAATTTCGGTGGTCCCATCGAACGGGAAATGCCACGCACCACCCTCGAGGCTGGGCCACCATGGATGAAAGGGTCCCCAATCGTTCTGTGTCCCTGGCTTGTTCGAGGGCGCAGGCCGCGAGATCTCATTTAGACCTGAAAACCAACCCCACACGGGGGCGGGGCTGGGGGTCAAGGCTATTTCAAAGCAGAATTTGAGGTTCGGCAATGCCCAATCCCCTATCGCGTGGAAGCAAATCATCCGGCCACAACTGCATGGGTTCGTGTGCGTTAAGCCAGGGTTGGTGGGTCCATGGCGTGCACCCGATCACCGGAGCTGAGGGTCGCTCTATATTATTTGCGGCTCTCGTGGCTTGGGTGGAATTGGCGTATACATATTTGAAATGGGACCCGGTTGGAATGCGGTTCTACAACAGATCAATGCAGACCATTTTCCCAGCCCAGGGCCCAAAGCTTCAGCAACTGGATCCTCTTCGTGCCCAGATAGGCCCTAAGAGGGCGTGCGTCAACAAGCATGACACAGTGGATTAATCTGAATCTGAAACACTGAGCCACGAGTGAACTAAGGGTGGCGCCTCCAGGCTATTTGCGTACTCATGCAGCCACACGACGGCCGTTGCCGCTGACGAACGCACCTAATTCGAGCCTCGAGGTGATGTCTACATCTCACCTTTATCGAGAATAATGGAGACGGCCAAATTGCCGGGCGGATTACTCGGTTGCTGCTATGCCGAGGTCTCATAAAGACCCCATTGCGACCACAAGTGGGGTAGCTCTGATCATGCGTGGCAGACCCATCAAGGGTAAGGGCAACCTGCATCAGACGCACCAGCAATGGCTCGAGAAATATGGGCCTCGCACCACGCAACGGCGTGTTGGACTAAATATCTAATTCGGAACTTGGAAGCGTCAATACCCGGACAATCACAAGAGCACTGTACTTACCGGTCAAGCCCGCTGATGAGGAAGCACGGCGATTGGCGAAAGTAGGGTGATATCATAGGTACGCGGGATATACAAATGCGGATGGTTTCACAACGAAGGTGAGCCCATTATTAGGTGTCCTCCAGCGGCTTTGGTTCATATAAACGTCTAATGAAAGCAACTCGGGGATGGTTTTTCGTATCCGAGTTTATTATTTGTGTTGGTTAGTCCCCGGGGCCGATGGCCCGGTCCTGGGTGCCGAACAATGGATGGCCGTGGCCCACTCTTCGACTTTTCCATCACTCCATCACTTGCACCTCTAATATTTTTTCACGGATCACCAAGAACGCCTAGGTCTACAGTCCCACAAGCGAGACGGGAATAATTTTTTTTTACCTTCGAGTTCCCAAAGTGCCCCGTTCTGATATATTCTCCCAACCCATGACTTCCCTACTTGGTTTTTCCGGAACACAAGCTCGAGGTTGGCCCGCACACCACTCGGCGAAGGGTTTGTCACTAAAATGACCCGGCCTTCTACCCGCGGCATGATTCCGCAGTTATTTTTGGTGCCTGTCTCCGAACCTGCTTCAGATGCCTATCCCCAGCTTCCAAAATATCACGCACTCACATAGCCTCCAATCTGTGCACAGTCTGGTCGAACGGAGTAAACTGAGTCGACACGACCTGATTACCCGAGCACAGCTTCTCCCTCGGATATGCTTGGTCAACTCTGTGACACTATCGGTTCAGATCTATCGCCCCCAGCATCATTTTTAGCTATATCTTCGCGAATCATCTAGCGTGATGCGAAAACGAAGCCCCGGCCCACTTCCCCCCATTGCCCCGCCTGAGCCCACCATGTGCTCTCTGTCGTGCCATCAAAATCCCAACCGGGACACACCCGGCACTTATAACATCGAATCGACTGGATGGCCATTATCTGGTATTCTCGGGTCCCGATCGCTTGTTTCTGTGCCCGCAACGATGAGCGATAGCAGCAAAACACATCTCGAACACTACCACTCAGCCCCGGCCGCCCCCACACCCACCCCTGTTCGTCGAAATTGGTGGTGGAAATACCGGTGCGTGCGGGAAGCATGATTGCGTGGGCGATCCGTATTGAAAAATTTTAGCCAGATGATAAGGGAACCGGCGGCTGAGTTCGCTGGCGTCATGATACTGATAATATTCGGTGCAGGTGTTGATTGTCAAGTTGTCCTATCTGCCAACACTGGTGTCGCTGCGAGCCAATTAGGAGTATGTCGACGGTTTACTTGCCTTGCGCATACCTAAATTCACATCGCTCCTACAGACATATAGTTCTATCAACTTTGGATGGGCTGTAGGTAAGCCGCAGGGCTATGTTCCATCCGCAGATGTTGACGTTTGATAGGCGCGGCCTTGGGAGTTTGGGTGAGTGGTGGGATTTCGGGAGGCCATATCAATCCAGCGGTATGTCCCTGGCAATCCAGCACACAATTGACCAATATAGAGGATCCTGTAGGTTACGTTAACCCTGGCGACTTGGCGCGGTTTTCCGTGGAAGAAGGTTCCATGTGCGTGTTCCACGGTGCTTCTTTGATCTACAATTTAATCTTTTTATGTACAGCTTACATCTTTGCTCAACTCATGGGTGGCTTGGTTGGCGCTGCGTTGGTTTACGCCAACTATATCCACGCCTTTGACATTGTTGAAGGTGGGAGGAACATTCGGACGCTAAAGACAGCAGGCATCTTTTCTACCTACGCTGTAAGTCGCATTTGATGGGTCAGGATACCCCAGTAATCGTTTCCCCATCAAGCTAGACTATATGACCGCGGTGTCCTGCTTCTTTTCAGAATTTTTGGCGACGGCCGTCATGATGATTGTTGTTCTCGCCATGTCGGACTCACGCAATATGCCGCCGCCCAATGGACTCGCGCCATTGGTGGTGTTCTTCTTGATCCTGGGAATCGGAATGTCCCTGGGGATGCAAACAAGTGAGTCCCTGTGTTACCGCGCTTCTGGAAGAATTTGTTGTTGAGCGTGTGTAGGTTACGCGCTGAACCCTGCACGAGACCTTGGGCCCCGAATTCTTACATCTATGGTGGGCTACGGAAAGGCGGTCTATACTTTCAGGAAGTACGTCCGACCCGTCCGGTTACTTTACCCACGCTTACCCGTGCTTCTTCAGTCAATATTGGTTGTGGTGTCCCATCCTCGGACCCTTGATGGGAGCTCAGGCTGGAGCCATGTTCTATGATGTATTCCTCTTCGAGGGCGAGGAAAGTCCCGTCAATAAACCGTAAGTTCCATATGCAATGATCGCTGCGGGTAGGGTCTAATTTCAATTATAGCGGTTCGGGGGCAAAGAATTCAGTGGCAAAAGGACGGCTCCAGGCGGAAGGGGATATTGCCTAGTGGCTCTCCTATTACCCGCTCAGTGGCCCCGGGTGGCGCCAATAATTTATGCACCCTCGACTATTCGTCAAGGACATTCATTCCAAGGACGTTGTATACACTATGTATCTAATAATTAGTATCAAACAGTCGTTCATTACACTTGGCTGTTGCTTGGCAGCAAATTGACATTGTATTCAACGCCACTCTGGCATGTGGGAGAGCAGGAGCGGGTACACCAGTAAAAACCGAGCTGTGGCCTAGATTATCTCAAGGCTGTCCACAAATCAGCTTACTCGGGTGGCGTATTCTCACTTTGGTACCTCCCATGAAAATCATCCGCTGATGAAACATGAAGACTAGCAAGAACATGGACGTTGAATCCATGATTATCGGGGAACGGAAGTGTCAAGATGGTTCAGGAAAGAATTCCTGTCTTGGGACGTTGCCACTCCAGCACACCGGTCTCCTAAAATCGTACCTGGCCCTGAGTACATTTGTGACAAATATCTTGCCATCAATTCTGGCTCATCATTCATTCATCTACTCTTTCCCTCCTCCACTTCATAACAGCGCCCATACACCGTATCTTGGCCCCGTACGGCGACCATGGGTTTCACACCAAGTCCCTCAGACCCCTTCCTCGAGCTCATGCGTCCACCTCCAGATGAAA